TTTGCTATTTTTACTCCTTTGTATTATTTCACATGAAATAGTAACTTTCTATGAAAGAGTGCATAAAAGGCCTACCACTTTTATAATCCTCTGTAGCAGACACTGATAACTGCACAATAAACAACTATTTCCAAACCCGTTCTCCTGTGTACAACACAAATGCTGAAAAAGGCTAATATTTGCTTTCCTAGACTCTTCTAAATCTAGGTTTCATAGTTCTGGTCAATGAAATCTATACAGAACCCCCTGAAAGGTTTATGGGCAAATTCTGCTTTTTCTTTTTTCTCCCCTACCTGGAACAAAGGGTATAAATTGCTTCGGACAGTTTGCCACCATCAGCCTACAACCAGATTGAAGGGAGCTCCTAAAAGCTTGTAGAGTAAAAGGCGGTCGGGAAGAACTAACCAGGAACCTTGGTGCTATTGTTGAATCACTACATCAAGGGAAAGCACTGGTTACTGGATGGGAAGCATGGGCGCAGGTGGAAAGAGATAAAAAGGAAGTGTATTGGAGACAGAATGCAAATCACTTCTTCTGTACTTATAGAGTTTATAAAACATATAAGTAGCAGTTTGAACTGCTAGTAAAGAGCTCAGAAAAAGGTTAGAGTTAAAGCTTTAAATTTCAAGAAGATAACTTTCTCCAATGGCCACTTTGTTCTCTGTTGTTGGAGAATCTATTAGTTCAATAGTGATTTCCTGGATTGATTTTTTTTTTAAGGCTCTTATTTTCTCAAATTTCTGTATCTATCTTTTGTCTACTTTTTGGGAGATTTCCTTTTGTTGACCTTAGAATGCTTTTTTTTAAAAACAAAATTTATTCCCTAAAATCTGTTTCATCTCTACTCTTTTAACTGCATCCTATTATTTAATGGATGCAGTATCCTTAAGAAAGATGATCACGTTATTACTTTATTTACTTGTGTTTGGGATATTATTTTAGATTTGTTTAGTTGTCTCTTTCATGGACATGGCTAAACACGGAAGACATTTAACTCATTATACTCTAACAGTGAAGAAATAAAAAGTTAATAAATCTGTGTGTGTAGGGTAGGCAACACAGTAAAAGGTACTAGGTTGTAAACCTGAATATTATTGTACTAGGGACTAGGGAGCAAGATCGGCTATTTTATTTTGGTGGCCCACTCTCTTAGTCCTCTGTCTAACAGGAAGGACTAATATCCTTCTAGAAGGAAAGATTAATATAAACTACTTCACAGGAAGATTTTTTTTTAGTTTGGTGCTTTTATTTAAAGGGAAGAAAGTTCTTATTAAATATGAACAATTTTAATAAAAAGACCTTTTTATTGGTTTTAATTTAGAAGAATCCTGCATCCACACAACATCCAGAAATGGTATCTATGAGATAGGTGTTTTTATTTTCATTTTACAAAACAGCCAAAAATAAGATGACCTATTTTATAGCTAAAAACGCATGGCAAGATGATTTAATTTTTAACCCTATTGCCCAAATTAGGCATTTTAAACCAACAGGACTTAATTAAAGTTACTGTACTGGGTATAGTAACCATAAGCAATGCAACTACTACATAGGACAACTGTAAATTATCAAAATAAGACACTTTTGAGAATGAGTAAGGCACTATTAGTAATTGGGCCAGAGAAATATGCATAAACTGGGCAAACTAGTCACCCCATTACTAGGAGAATAACCTCTTAGATATTAAGCCTACTGTATAAACTTTCTAAAAATTTTAATGAGATAGAAGTAGAAAAAAACAGTTTTTTTTTTTTTTTTTCAGTCTTTTTGAGACAGTGTCTCGCCATGCAGCTCAGAATGGCCTTGAGCTCACTTTGTAGTGCGGGCTGGTCTCTAACTCACAATGATCCTCCCGCCTCAGCCTCCAGAGTGCTGGGATTACAGACGTGCACCACTACACCAGCTGATAGAAGTAGATATTACAAAAATATAAAAAACACATTTCTTCTATGAAAAAAAATTTTTTAATTTCATAAAATAATTAAGAGTAACAATGGTAGATATACTGTGTATCGTGATCTTAAAAGAATGGCCAAAATGTTACTCAGGAGGTAAGTCACAGATAAAAGAGTCTCTTACAAATAAGAAGCAAACAAAAGGAAAAAACTGTACTTTCAAAGAATAAAAGAGGGGCTGGGGATTTAGCTCAGCAGCACAGCATCTGCCTGGCAAGTGCAAGGTCATGAGTTTGATTGCTGGTAGCGGAAAAAAAACCAAGTTCTCCTTGGTTAGAGCCAAAGAATAAAAGAAACCAGCAGTATGAATGAAACAGAATATTTTTGAAAGAACTGGACGATAATTTCAGGAATTATTTGAACTTCTCCCTATTTCTTATTTATCTATCTTTTATTTTGCTCTCTATTTGTTTTTAGTTTATCACATAAGCGAAACCAAACCACACCTGTATCTGACTTATTGCACTTAACATAATGTTCTGAAAATGCATCCATCTGCCTATGAATGCTTCAAGTTTATTTCTGTTTATGGCAGAGTAGTGCTCTATTTTATTTAAGCACCATATTCTTTCCAAGATCCAGCTATTAAAAATTATGCTGCTATAAATATGGGTATGCATGTATTCCTGTAGTACGATGACTAACTCTTTCAAGAAGATAACTAGAAAGGAGGTAGCTGGGTCAAATGGAATTTCTATTCTGAAGAATCTCCACATTGACTTCCATAGTGGTTATTCTACTTTACATTCCCACCAACAATGTAGAAGAGTTCCTTTTTCTCCCAGATCTTTGCCAGCATTTATTATTAGTTGATTTTTTGATGGATGTTCTTTCTGGTAAAAGATGGTATCTCAATGTAGTTTTGATTTACATTTCCCTAATGGTCAGCAATGTTGAACACTATTTCATATGTTGATGGGCCATCTTCTTTCCTCCCTCCCTCCCTCCCTCCCTTCCTTCATGTTTGGTATTTTTGAGATGGAGTCTCACCATGTAGTTTAGGCTGACCTTGAACTCACTTAGTAGCCCAGACTGGCCTTGAATTCCTGGTGATCCTCCCGTCCCAGCCTCCTGAGTGCTAGGATAACAGGCTTACACCAGTTGCCCATTTTCTGACTGGGTCTTTTATTTGGGGTGGCGGGGTATCTAATATTTTTCAGTTCTTTATATATTCTAGATGTTAGTCTTCTGTCCAAGGAATACCCGGCAGAAATTTTTTCCTGTTCTGTAAATTATCTCTTCACCCTGCTGGTTGTTTCCTTTGCTGTGCAGAAGCTTTTTAATTTGATATGGTCCTATCTGCTGATTCTTGGTATCAATTCTTGTGCCACTGGGGTTCTTTCTGTTCAGAAAGTCCTTTCCTACTCCATGTCTTCAACAGTTTTACTTATCTAATCTTCCAGTTGATGAATGTTTCTGTTTTAACATTTAGATCTTTGATCCATTTTTAGTTTAGTACATGGTGAGAAATATGGGTCTAAACTCAGTCTTCTGCAGGTGGATATCCAAATTTCCAGCACCATTTATTAAACAGGCATTCTGTTCCACTGATCAGAATTCTGCTTCCTCTACTCTGTTCCACTGATCCACAAGCCAGTTTTTGTGCCAGAACCACACTGTTTTAATCACAGCAGCTTTGTAGTATAACTTTAAATCTGGGGTTGTGATGCCTCCTGCTTTGCTTTTGTTACCCAGGACTGTTTTTAGTATTCTGAGTTTTTCTGGTTTCATAGATTTTAGGATTGTTTTGTTTTTCTAGATCTGTGAGAAAAGCTATTGGTATTTTGGTTGGGATTGCATTAAATCTGTGTATCAGTTTTGGAAGTATAGCCATTTTGATTACATTGGTTTTGCCTATCAAAAACCAAGGGACATCTTTCCACTTTCTGATGTTGATTTCCTGTTTCACCATGATGTAATTTTCATTGTAGAGATCTTTCACTTTCTTGGCTAGTTTCTAAACATTCAATTTTTCTTGATGCTACTGTGAATGGTATTGTTTTCCTAATTCCATTCTCAATGTGTTTGCATTAATGTACAGAAATTTTATTGATTTTTGTGTATTTATTTTGTATCCTTTTATGCTGCTGAATTAATTCTACCAGTATTTTGGTGGAATTTTTTTTGGGTCTTATATGTAAAGGATCATGTCATCTATGAATAATGATACTTTGACTTCACCCTTTCTTATACATACCCCTTTCTTCTCTCTTGCCTGATGATTGCTCTAGCTAACGTTTCAAGGACCATGTTAAAGAGGAACAGTGATAAAGGTCACTCTTAGCTTGTTGATGATTTCAGAGGAAAAGAAGCCTGCAAACTTATAAGGCATTACCCATTACATGATGCCTTACCTTACAACAAAGAGACATATTCTACTATGATGGTGCCTAATTCATAGGGCACTAGGGTGAAACAGAAGGTAGAAATAAATAATAGAGAATAAGATAATTTGTAATATATTGCTTCCCACAATAAGCACACAAACAATTCCTACAGTCACATGTTGCCTTTCTTTGAAGAAATAATAGTAATTCAAGTATTTTTAAATAGAAATATGCAATTGGAGAGAGCTTTCTTTCTCTTAAGAATTCTTTCAATTAGACCTAGTTTCAAGGACCAAACTGATTTCCACAGTGGTTTCACCAGTCTGCATTCCCACCAGCAGTGGAGAAGGGTTCCTATTTCTCCACAACCTCGCCAGCATTTGTTATTGGTTGATTTCTTAATGCTAGCCATTCTTACTGGGGTAAGGTAGGATCTCAATGTTGTTTTAATTTGCATTTCTCAAATGACTAGTGATGTTGAACATTTTCTCATATATTTATTTGCCATTTGTATCTCCTTGTACTGTTCATTTGCTATGTTGTAAAATGTCTGTTAATGTTTTCCTCGTTTTATTTTTAAAATTAAAAAAAAAAAAAGAATTCTTTCAATGAAAGAAACAGAAAAGGTAAAAAATGGCTAGGAAGACAAGAAAATGGGCTTTAGTTTTCTATCTAAAGTAATTAAGGCATGAAAGAAGAAATCATTAAATCCTCTTACCCATTCCAGAGTCTTTCTTGGTGCCATCTGATATTATATCTACATGATCAGAGTCCACATCGTAACTAAAGAAATCATTCAAATAGGTTTTTGATCTCTGGCCACCAAATACGTATAAGCAACGATTTTTCTGAAAGAGAATAAAAGGACAAAGAGAAGAGTATGTTATAACTTCCGTGAAGAATTTCCAATGATGTTTTTAAAATTTAAACCTTACAAAAGTACTTTTCTGACAGACCCCATGCAATGGAGTACTATGCTACAATAAAGAGGAAGGAGGACGCTCTTCATATACTGCTAATAGGTGACCCCCCGAATGAGTATCTTGTTAAAGTACAAAAGCAAGGTGCAGAATAATGTATTTAGGTTGCTGCATTTGTATAAGAAAAGACCAAAAGTATTATCTGTGTGTGTGTGTGTGTGTGTATATATGAGAGAGAGAGTTAAGTATATTTCCTTCTTTTTTAATAAGCAAAGACAGGATAAATCAAAATCTAATAAAAGATAAGGAGGGGAAGGAACAAAATTCTTTTCTATCTCTGCCCTGAAAACAGGGATTAAAAATCAGCCATCTCCAAAAGTATCCTGATTTACAGTTTTGACACTGAAAAACCAAACATATGTTTTTATTTAATTAGAAAACGAAACTAACTTTAAAAAAAACTATGAAATTTGAAAAAAAAAATGAAAAATATAGAAATATGACCACTCAGAAACATAATGCATATCTACAGTGGCTTTTAATTCAGCTTTTTGACTACCCATTCATAATGGGCTAAATCCTACACAGAAAAATAATCAGAAATCAATTTTATATACACTCTATGACTTTTTTAGTTAGCTTTGTTATTTTCCAGACTACTACAGATAAAGCAAGTGATAAAATATTGTTGTATACAGTAGGATTTTAATCATAAAAGATCCACAAATACAAAATCAAAGCCATAAGTAAAAACCTTTAATTTGAATTGGATTTAACTTGATTTAGCTTTTCTCTTACTAAAAAAGGTGTATATAAGAGCAGCAATGCTATTGGCCAAATGCAGAGAAAAAATGAGCATAAAAAAAGAATAATGACCACAATGGATTTAAAACTATCAAATGTATAAAAATCCATGGGTCCATAATTATACTTTTAAAAACACACCTCTTTCACTTTGGAGCCTTAGCTCACTAATATGAAAATGAAGAAAAGCAAACAGTCAGACATTTACATTGCTTATTCTGTATGGTTTACATTCCAGAGTAACCAAACAGTGGTTTTTTTCTCATGTGTGGTTTTATTTGGGGAGAGGTAAAGGTAGAATCACAGGTAATAAATGTAGAAGAACTCACATCACTAGAAAAATCACTAATGAAAATCTAGATAATGAAAATTAAATTAATAAATATTAAAACTATTAGATAAAAGATAAACTTCACAATGAATCATTCAGGTTAATAACACTGGAACTCTTTATCATCAAAGTATGATGACTAGACATGCCTCCATACATCAGAGTATACAGGAAGTATTCTTGTATGTCCCTTTTTGGCTTTCCCTCAAACCGATAAGAAATCCAAACTCAAGCCTCTGGATTATGAGCACTAGGTTTTAGAAAATATTCATAGACCATATTAAATCACACTATGAAGATAAAAGCTATCCAGCTGAGAACACTGAGAGATTCTAGAGCACAAATGACTTTTTAAAAAACAAATAAATAGGTGGTAATGGGGGGCAGTATTATTATGTATTAAAGGAAATTGAAGAGCCATAAAAACTAAATGCCATTTATCCTGGCATTTTTGGATCCTGACTTTAACACACCAGATAGAAAAAGTACTTTTCAGTATATTAGGAAAAAATAAATGAAGGATGAATACTAAATAATAATAATAATAAAACACTGATTTGAGTTAGGTATGATAATGGTAACATTAAAGAACACATATAAAATATTCTATAACATTGTTTTAAAGTTGTAAGCAACCAAAAAAAAATCAAAATTTCATTAAAACATTTTAAAAGGTTAAAGAAAAGTATATATATTGATATATTTTAATTCTGAATGCTATGAAATCAATTAATTCTTTGTACTTAATGGAGGGGAAAAAAACAGATTAAAAAACTGTCCTAATTGTAAGTGGTAAGAAGAGGAAATAGCTACACTACCTAGAAAGGCAGTAAGCTTAAATCATAAAACTATGTAATTTAGAATTCAAGTGATAACTGTTTAAAAGTTATTGGACTGGTGGAAAAAGCCTCAAAATAAGCAAACGGTTCACTGTTTAAGGATGTTTCCTTTTTGTCTGTCATTGCTACACTAGGTATTTATTTTGAATGAAAAGCTTTATGTGTTGCTGAAGATTTCTATTTGTTTTTTTGGGGAGTGGTACCAGGAATAGAACTCAGGACCCTTGCACTTGCCAGGCAGGTGCTGTGCTGCTCAGCTATATCTCTGACCCAATACTTCGATTTCAACATTTCTTTTCCTATAAACATATACATGACAAAATAACATAATGCAAGGCACAGAATGGTCTTACTGAGTGGAATAACATGCAGTGTCCTATCCGAGACTGGATGTCCTCAGGTCCAGCATTACAGGAGTCCTCTCGAAGAAGTTTCCAGGTTTGACACTGACAGTTGAAAGCAAACAACCCACTGAATTGTGGTTCACTGGCTCTGCTGTCATCTACGCTGCCATTACATGTCAAAATTCTACCACCAAAGGTGTAGATCATATGTTTTTCTGAATCCATACACATCTATCAGATAAAGCAACAAATTGAATATTTTAGTTTGCTTCTGCCATGTGTAACAAATGAAACCTTTCTCAAGAAACCCTGAACTTTGTCACTTATGACACTAAATATCTATCTCCTATTATTACATGAACATATTATAATACAGTTTGTTCCCTGGCACAGATTCAGGATAGGTTTCTAAATACCTTTTTCAGATTTCCACTTGACCAAGTCATAATAAAACATGTTGGGTTAAAGAACATTCTGTTTTCTTGAAACTGCATAATTTTTACAAAAATCAACGAATGATGTATTGCAATATATCTAATAGTTACTACTGATCCTACAGAGTAGTCATAAACTTTTCATCTTCCTTATAAAAACACCTTTTTTACTCTTCTAGACAAGCATCCTATTAATTTTCTATTTAATATGAAAGTAGATATGCAAATAAAAAGTGACATAGTTAAAGTCATTTTGGGGTTTATTTTACAATTCTCTTCAAATTATGATGTTACAAAACAGCAAAACAAAAACATTTAGGAGTTTCCAGATTGACTTTTTTGTTTTTCCAGATTTTTATAGTGTGAAAATTTAGGTATCCTTTAACCTATCACTATAAATTTACTTTTCTTTGAAATTAGATGTTAAACACAAATAATACTTATATTTAAAGCATAAACTGTGTACACAAATCGTTTATTAATCCATTCTTCTGCTAAAACACAAGTATTGGCTGTATACATTCAAATCTCTCTTCCCATGAAATTACTTCCAGCATTTGTCTATTATTGTAATTTTAATAAAAAGTTTTTAATAAGTATTATGAAAGATTACAACATCCCCTAATCTTTATTACATCTGTATCTCCTTTGTCATTTCAAAGGTTTTTTAAAAACTTCCATAAATTAAGATAAAAATTTATTACAGTATTTATTATAATATTTTTTACCTCTATTTTAGAACTCCAATGAGGTAGATATTGAAACTTTAAGACCTCTTCTCTGAGCCTTAAGTTTTCTCTCATAATTTTAGCTTAATTTAGACATATTCCCATTTTGCTTTTTAATCAATTTACTGAGATTTCTATTTCACTATCAAATTTTTATAATTTTTAGGTATTAATGTTTCATAGATGCAATATTCATCAGAATTACTTTAAAATACTGTTTTCTTCAATTTATTCTATTAGTTATTTTCTTGAATTCATTACTAATTTGTATTACTAATTTATTACTAAAGTATTATGGAAGATTCTAGCATCTCCTACTCTTTACCACCAAAACAATCTGTACCTGCTTTGCCATTTCCCAGGTTTTTAAAACACTTCCATAAATTGAGATGACAATTTATTACTTCCCCCAGGGTGAAATCTTGGTGAATATGGCTGAAAAACTAAGACATCAAAGTTTTCATGTCCCCCGCATTCCACAGATGATGTTCCCAGTCTTTAATCTTAAAAGATTATGTCATTAAAAACAATCCTTATATTGCTAAAGATGACCCCACATAGCTCCACTCAGCTACTGTATCTCTCTCCAAACTGGGTTGCACTATCCTGTCAAAAGTTCTTAAGGCTCAAATCTTTCCAAATACCTGGGGAGCATGCAGAAAATCCTGGGAGGTCCATATTGAGTCTATTTCCCATTTTCCCAAATGCACAGTTCATACTAATGGCCAGTATCTATTCCCCTACGGCTCTACTTCATATGGTTACGAAGGAAGTATCTCCGTTCCTTTGGGGGGATATTGAAGCCTAACTGCTTATTCTCATTGTTGTATAAACACCTTTACACGGTAGCTTTTGCCAGCACACCAGTCTAAGCCGTTTCAAGAAAGGAGTAACATAAGTAACTGTATTTGTATTGTGATTCTTACCCTTATCTTGACAAGTAGAAAACAACAGAAATCATTTTATTCCTTTAACTACTTGCTCCTAAGTTCTGTTCTTCCCTTGATAAGATACAAAATTTCAAGAGAGTCAACTATCAAATGACAATAAATTTTAATCACTCTAGGAAACATGTTATTCATTAGCATGGTTTACTCTTTATTTTTTAATTTCTACTTGGTTTTTTAATTTGTTTTGAAGTTTGGATCTCTGAAAAATGTTTTCAGAAAAGCTAACAACCAACTCTGTGTGCTCTTTTCTACAAAGATTTTGAGAAGTCTTTTGAGCCAAAAGTTGGAAGACTACTCATTTGTCAACTTACACGTTTAATTTAAAAGTAAAAAGCAGACAGTAACTTGTTTTTCTGAAAAAATAATTTCTTTTAAATCTGAAAGTGACTTTATTTTACCCTATTACAGGAATATAAGATTGGCAAGGTTTAAACTGGGTTCAAAATAATGTTCTCCTTATAAAATTTGAGGTTCTGCTATAAAGCTTTCCAAGTACCCAGTGTTGTCCAATCTACTATGTTTCCTTGACCCTATTTCCAAAAATATCTCCTGTCAATCTGATTCCTGCTGACCAGTAGGTAGCCAGCTTTTTCTCTGTGATTGTTTCTAGGATTTTCTTACGGTTCTGAAATTTCATTAAGTAACTACCTAGATAGGAATTTTTTCCCCCTTCTTTCATTCTGATCTGTAGTTGGTAATTTCTTTTGGTCTGAAAATTGTGTTGGTTTTCAGCTCCAGGAACTTTTTTCTTTTTTTTCCCCTGAATACTTTTTTACCTCAATTTTGGAATTCTCATGAAGTAGATATTGGAACTTCAAGACCTCTTCTCTGAGTCTTAAGTTTTCTCTCATAATTTTACCTCATTAATTTACTAATTTAGACAAATGCCCATTCTTCTTTCTAATCAAATTACTGAGATTTCTATTTTTACTATCAAATTTTTATAATTTTTAGATATTTCTTTTTGTCTTTTTTTTTTTTTTGAGACAGAGTCTCACTATGTAGTTAGGCTGGCCTGCACTCACTACATAGCCCCAGCTGGCCTTTAACTTCCAGTGATCCTCCTGCCTCAGCCTCCCAAGTGCTAGGATTACAGGTGTGCAGCACCACATCCAGCATATTTCCTTTTCATAGATGTAATATTCATCAGAACTACTTTAAATACCATTTTCTTCAATTTATTCTACTAGTTATTTTTCTTGAATTCACTAGTAATTTGTTGAGCTTTGTACTCCATCTCATTACTTTCAAATAGTTGGATTTTTTTCTTTTTGTCTGGTCTTGTGTCTGAAAATCCCTACTCACATGCCTATTTGCATATACCATAACCTGTTTGAAGAAATGGACAGGAAGACAAGAGAGAGGATGCCCTTCTGTGCTATCTTTTCAGCCATAACATCCTTATTTCACATTTTACCTGTAGACAATTATCACTGCTAAGTACTACACTGGAAAATGCCCTCCTATTTTGTCACCAGCTATATTTGTCCCAGCTATATACAATTTGAGACTCAAGTCATTTCTCAGTCTTTGCTGTGACTCTAGAGTCTCTGTTTTTTTCTGGTTGGGTCTGATCCTATCTGCTTTCTACCTTTCAGGAAAATTCCCATCAAGTTTTGAAGTTCTTTGAATACAATGCTTTTCAATACTATTGTTAACATATTCTCTTGTCATGTTAGAGGATGTTGAGAAGGACAGTAGTAAAAGTATACGTTCAGCCTGCCAATGATCCAATGTGGCCCAGGAATAATGCCAATGAGTTCACACCTTCAATCCTTTTCAGTTTTTTCCTGCTATTTTTTTACTAGCTCATATTCCATTTTCTAGTAATTTCCTCATAGTGTTTACACTTGAAGGACAGTTTTCTATCTTTCTTTGTTTTTGAGACAGGGTCTCACTATGTAGTTCAGGCTGGCCTTGAACTCATTATGTAGCCCAGGATGGTCTTGAACTCCCAGCAATCCTCTTGCCTCAGCCTCCCAAGTGCTGAAATTACAGGCATGCACCACCATGCCTGGCATGAAGGACAGTTTTCTAAAGAACACAATAGCAGCTGAGTTCTCAAGTTTTCCATGTAGTTACATTGTGTGATGCTTGGGATAGTGTTAAGGTTAAAGTTCTAAAAATGTCTTCATGCCTCTGGTATTCTCATGCTCTCAAATTTCAAAACAGAGTGCTAAATCCAAGAGCATCATGAATACCACAAATAGTTTTCTGGAGTTCCTTTAATGCCACAAGTTAGTCAGTTATAACTTATAGCTTTATTTACAGGAAATAAAATGTGAAACAGAGGTTTACGAAGGTCATGGAACTTGCTCAGCAGCACAGAGCTAGTTGCTAGCTGAAATTGCGCTAAAATCCTGGTTTCTCTGCTCCTAGTGTTATGCAGTACCATCTATTCAGGTAAAAACCAAGCATTATTTAACATAAGTCAGCTTCCAAAGAACAGCCTACTTTTATCAGAGTCAAGAGAGACAAAAGCCATAACAAGAACTCTGTATGTGCTATGTAGTCCAACTATCCTTAAGAATACTTTTCAACCAGTTAACAAAGACATCAACATCTTTTGTGAAAGAAGTATGTAACAATTTGGGATCAAGACAATAAATTGTTCCCTAACAATGTTATCTGCTGATGTGTTTTGTTTTGTTTTGTTTTGGTTTGGTTTTGTAAGACAGAGTCTCCCTATGTAGTTCAGGCCATGAACTCACAACACAGCCAAGGCTGGCCTCGAATTTGCAGTGATCATCCTGTCTCAGCCTGAGATTACAGACATCTGCCACTAAACTCTGCTGATGCTGATGCTTTTAAAAGATCAGAATCAGGGACAGGGATATAGCTCAGTGGCATAAGTGCCTGCCTGGCAAGCACAAGGTCCTGAGTTCGATTCCCAGTAACAACAACAACAAAAAAAGATCAGAACCAGCTTGAATTCTTGGAGTTCTTATTTCCTACATGAATACTGAGAATGTTGGCAAGGATGTGTACAGCATGGCAGAGCTCAGTTATATAACTGAGCCAGTAGAAATTTCAAATTGAATCTGGGGAGTACTTCAAAGACTAACGTTTTTGATTTTCCACGCACCACTTACTTGATAGGCACAAGTCAGGCCTCTTTTCCTTACCATTCTCTTGTAACAAGTACATATTAATATAAACATGGTCATAGCACAGTTTTAAAGTAAAAAATTAATTTAAAAAATCTGTAAAGACACAGTAATGACTTGGGCTTTAAACTCAAACATACAATTTTAAATATGAACTGTATTTTGATCATATTTCTACTATCTCTCATTTTTCAAGTACAAGATAATACTATCATCAACGCAGTATTAGAGATCTTTTTAAAAGTCTTTTTTTCCCCCCTGTATTCTGAAGATGTTAGAAATGGGTGAGCCAAGTAAAACTCCAATGATTATTATTTCATTTAACTTACCCTGAACTTGTAGGAAGTATTCAAAGACAGATAATCATGACAATAACACTGATAGTGATGACAATGGTGACAGTTATCTATCTGCATGTTAGTATTAAAATGACTTACAATATTACTATGTGCAGTCTCCTTGTCTACAAACACCATCACACGAATTTTTGGTGCTGAGTTTAAATAACATAATCTAGGTTCATAACATGTTTCTGATTGTAAATAAAAATATATTTTATGTTAATTGGAAAAAAAGCTTGAGACTTCAAATTCTCACACTCATTATAAAGTGATTTTAAAATTCTTCCATGAAGGAAAAATTCTTTTAAAATGTTAAAAGGGCAAACTGCTACTGCTAGGATTTATAAGCATTTACTATAAAACTAAATTTGTTTTTCCTAATATTATTCCATCTACTCTCTATAGTAATAAAGATTTTATAAATTAATAATTCTATTCTGAGATCTTAGAGCTTATTTCTGACATCTGTACCAAACAAAGAAAAAATTTAAAGAATAACTTTATATCTAGTGAAACAAAAATTTTTTTAATGATCTGTCTTAGGTATTTGCAGTATAATCACTTGTAGAGAACATCCATAAGCTCTATGAACAAGAATTAGTGAACACTAATTCCACCATATATTTAACTGTGCATCAAACCTGATGATCAAACACCAGTTTCGGTCCTCCATCAGCAGCAGTATCTTCACTTAGCAACATCCACGTGTTTGTGTCAATGTCGTAACGGTAGAAATCACTTTTTAGAGACTTGCTGTTCCTCACAGAGGAATCCAAATAGCGTCCCAATGTGTAGATTTGCCTCCGTTGAATATCAATGCACATTTTATGACATGATCTGGCACTTGGGCCATTCTGTAGAAGGAAAAATGGGGCAGGAGCAAAAGAACAAAATAATATTAACTGTCCTCCTTTTGCTCGGAAACATAAGAAGTCAACTAATGTGGATCTAATACTAGGTTTAAATCTCCAAAAGAAAGGAAAAGAAGCAGCAGGATCCAAATCTTACTTTTCAGTGTTTAATATCAACCAGGAAAGATAAGATCAACTACTCTATATCCTCTGACACCTGTCTGTAACACCTGTATGGTTTCTATCATATACTGCATTGTATTTTGGTCATCTATGAACACAGTTCTAGTCTCAATTACCTGACAATCTATGTTTGCCCTTTAAAATTATTTTGGTATTTCTCACCAGAATATAACACAAAACAGGTACTTCAAGTACAGGTACTTCAAAAATATTAACCAGTAATTTTCAAAGTTGGAAGAAACTATAATGAAATTTGTAGTTTAATTCTCCCTTTTTAATGACGAGGAAATATAAGCCCAGAAAAGAAAGGTGTCATCCTGAGAGCCAATAAGCTAGTGATAGAAGCAGGGGAATCCAAGTCTTTGACTTAGATAATTTACATTACATAAAACTGACTCTTTTGACTGAGTAACACAATTACATTAAGGAAGTAGGAGTATTAAGAACAGTATGCTACCTAAAGGAGACAGAGAGAGCCGAGATCATTCGTTTAACAGGACTCAACAAAAGGTTAAAAAAACCTGTACTATAGCTAGAAGAGTTCATGGTTGCTTCAACTGAACAAGGTTTAAAGAGATAAAAGGTAGAAAGGAAATAAAACTAATGAACTAATGTTTAACATTTCCTAAACTGTGTTTATATTATTACTGTGTATGTATGTATGTATTTTACTTAATACTATAAGGAAACATCATTATTTCAGCATCTACATAATTTGTCCACAGTCATAAAACTAAGATAGCAGATCTAAGCCCTAGTGTAACCAGAGCCAATAACTCTGCTCTTCTCGCTATGTCAGGTATTTTTTTCTAGAAGAGAAACAAAACCAAAAATAAACTTGTTAACACAGTATATGTGGTTATGACTAAAATGAAGAATTCTTGCTGAAGAACAAAAATGAAATATAAAGTGGAAATAGCAAGTCTAGTGAGTAACTGCCAGAGACTTGATATAATCTGTAGGCAAGAAAAAATTATTACAGGAAAAATAAAAACCAAAAAATTATCATAGGTTCCTAGAGTAAGATATAACATAAAAAAGCAACAGTATAAAAATAATGTAACAATATTGATTAAACTAAGGAATATTACACAAGAACAACAGCTTGACAATTAGTGTTTAATCCAGTACACTAAATTGCTTTCTCTATTTTAGTAAAACTTATTAAAGTTTAGAAGAAAGACCCATTTTTAAAAAAATCTGTATTCTAGTGTATTCCTAACTTAATTTCGTGAGGACAACATAACACTGACATCAAATGACAATGTTACAAAGAAAGAAGAGGTGGAGTGGGAGGAGGAGAAGGGGAAGGAAATAGAGAAATAATTTACTGAAAACTTTACTAAAACTTGAAAACTTTACTAAAACTTATTAAAGTTTTAGTAAAGTTTACTAAACAAGGTAAAACTTATTAAAAACTTAAAGACTTTTGTCAAAATCTTCAAAACTTATTTTTTAAAGATTTTTGTCAAGATTTGAGCAGATAAGGTGAAATTTTTATTTAAGAAAAATTTTCTTCCATGATTAAAAATCTCAAAAACAAAGATGGAGGGCTGGGAATGTAGCTCAGTGGTAGAGCACTTGCCTCACACACACAATGACCTTGGGTTGAATTCCTAGCACTGCAAAAAACAACTCACAAAGATGGAGTAATATGTAATAAATCTATATCACATTTCCTAGATGTAAAATTTGAAATTCTAATAGTACAGTAACAGCCCAAAGAGTATTACTCTCTTTGTGCTTTAGCTGAATCAGCACAAGTACAATTAAAATGTTAGCAAGTTCTATACTAAGCAAGAAGAAAAAGGAAAGTAACAATAATAGGATATAAAGCACTTAAAAACAGAAAAATAACAAGGAATATTGATAGCACTCTAAGCAAGATTATAATTTTTTATAAAGACTAAGAAAATACAAATGCCTTTATGTGAAATGAAAGAAAAACAGGACTACAGACTATAAAAATAAAAAAGAAAATAAAAGTTTATTATAAGTATCAGGTCGAAGGTGACCACAGATAAAATACACATATTCCTTGAAAAAAATCTAACAACAAAATGACTTGCTAGAAAGAGAAAAATGTAATGTCTTTATATCTACTGAATTGAGTTCATAATTTAAAATGTTCCCATAAATAGATCTCTAGGCTTAGATACCTAACACTGGCAAATTTCACCAAATATTAAAGAAGAAATTCATCAGTTTGAGACAAAATGTTTCAGAAAATAGAGGAAGAAGAAAGACCCATTTAAAAAAAAAATCTGTATTCTAGTGTATTCCTAACTTAATTTCGTGAGGACAACATAACACTGACATCAAATGACAATGTTACAAAGAAAGAAGAGGTGGAGTGGGAGGAGGAGAAGGGGAAGGAAATAGAGAAATAATTTACAGGTGACAAGCATCTCTTATGAACACAGACACAAAATTAACCTTTAACAAAATATTGCCAAATGGAATGTAGCAATACCATATATGAAAAGAGTATCTCACAACAAAAGGGGTTTGTTTATCTTAGGAATGCAAAGTTGCTTTTACATCACAAAATCAATAGGGGTAATTTATTACATTAATAGTGTAAGAGTGAAAACCTAACCCTAACCCTAAACAGCTATTTTTAACAAAAATATTATTTGTGTCAGCATAAGTTTATTACTACAATTTTAAATTAATTGGTGAAGAAATTTTAAAGTTTTCCATTCTAATACAGTTGTTTTCAATAGATATAACCCAAATAAACCGAGAATATCAATGAGATTTTGCCTAAAACTGTAAAGGGATCCTGAAACCATAAAGTTAGAGAAGCACTAACATAATTAAAGTCCAGTAAGAAGAGCTATATCTAATTCCTTTCTGGTCTATAATTCATGAATGAAGTCAGAAATACTTAAAAAGAGCTATGATTTTAAAAATATATAAAGGTCATTACCCTACTTTCCTTTAACGAAAGCTGTAATTCTGCCTTTTCCAAGATGTCTCTTGCTATAAATTTTTGTTTGTTTGCTTGAGACAGGGTCTCACTATGCAGTCTAGGCTGGCCTTGAACTTACTATGTAGCCCAGGCTGGCCTTAAACTCTGGGCGATCCTCCTGCCTCAGCCTCCCAAATGCTGAGATTATAGGCATGCACCACTACACCTAGCTATAAATTTCATTTTTATTTAGTAATCATAACTTATAGCCACATTACAAAATACTGAATTTTTATAGTTGGCCTTGAAAAAGAATACTAAAGAAATTGAACTGGAGCTAATAAAAATGAGTTTATTAACTACTTTGAGAATAATACATTTGTTTCCAATCTATAAAAATTTACTTGCATATCTACATAAACATTAAAGTAATTTTCTCATGAAGAGCTGAGCTATTATTTTTCAGTCTCCTTAATGTTTTATTAGACACGTATTTCAGTAAATTAAAATGATTAAATTAACTTTCCTTTTTAATTGTGTTGTGCTTAAAAATACAATGCCCTACAGTAGCATCAAACAATAACTTGTACTCACTGGTATAAAAAATTAGAAGGGAAAAGAAAAAATGCAAAAAAAGAAGGAAAAATGGAAACAAAGCTTTTGTAAATGAGGGGAAAGGGGTTGAAGGTAGAGTAGGTGAATGAGGAAAAAAAAAAAGACTCAAGATTTATCACGTACAGGTACAAATTCCCTATGATGAATGTGATCATTATGTATACCTAAAATGTACCAATAAACTTAATTAATTAAAAAAGAAAATAGATCAAAATCTTCCAAAAATTAGATATGTAAAATAATAATTGCTCAATTTTATAAACAATAAGCACTTAAGTCACAGCCATAGCTTGCGTGCCATCCGATTCATAGATGGTCAACCAAGGTTTTTACGTGTCTAAGTAGTAATAAATTATAATAAAGCTGAGCTGTAGTACTGAGTCACACCATTTTACTTATTTTTATTAACTTCAAAATAACCAAATACTCCCATGAAAACAATTATGTTTCAGCACTAGTTTTAAAATAATTACGTATAACATGTATGATATAAAAAATACTGGAATGAAGCTATCTACCTATAATACAGCCTTAAAACATCTATAATACTTTTGAAACTCCCTGTAAACTCTCCACCCCAAAGGAGTCACTCTCCTGAATTTTGTAGTATTTATCATTTCCTTGTTCTTCTCCAGCACTGACTCTTCATGTAACTTTCCCTATTTACTATCTACTTACTCCTATCACTAAGGAGTAAGCACATGTGTCTTATCCTTAAAATACATAAATTCTAAAGAATATGATTCATGCCTTTATTCAGAGTCTAGGTAGGAAAAACAGAAATATAAACTAACATCATAACCTATTCCAGAATTAAAAGGGGTAAAGTGGGCGCATTACAGGAAGTTTTAAATTCTTAGGGAGAGTAAGAAAAGCTTCTCAGTAGAAATGAGTTTCAAATAATCAATAGGTATTTACTAGGTTAAAGCTAAGCATAAGATCATCTGTTAATCCCAATCATGAAAACAACGCTACCAAGTGATACAGGTGAGAAAGTGGAATAATTCTAGTAACTCCAGTTACTAAGCACATGAAGTCAGGAGGTAAGGCTGGTAAAGTAGGTGAAGACCAAACTTTGATGAGAAATTTAGAGGTTTACTCTAGTAGGAAGTGAGGGAGATAAACTGCTCTGCTACTGTTAGTCACACCTCCCTGTGTCTATGCTCCTTAACAGTACCTTCCACCGCATGCTGACCCTGGCTTGCTTACATGTTTTTTTTTGCTGAGACAAGAACAAATCTGATGGATTGTTCATGTGTACTTCACCCTCCTTGCAGCTCTGACCCAACCATGAGAACAAGCACCAGGTAGTCTACCAGAGGGAGACTATATAGAATACAACCAAGCAGTCCCAGCTGAAGCCATCCTAAACTAGCTGACCCATGACTCCCAGACAAGTGAATGCACCCAGCTTACACCAAAAGAATGACTCAGTCAACCTGTAGAGTTAGGAACAATAAACGCTTACTACTATTTGCCACTGAAGTTCTGTGAATTCTTGTAATACAACAGATAAAATGTAATAGGTAACTGAAACCAAGACAGAAGATAACCACAGGGTTTAGGTCAAGGTATCACATGGTCCAATCTGTTTTTAAGAAACTTTGTTCATGAATGGAAAACACATGTAGGAATCAACAACAGTGACCAAAAGTTAAACAACAAACAAATAAACAAACAAAAAAACCACATATAGATTCAATCAGTGCAAAAAGGGAGAGGAAAGAATGTTTGAAGTGTAATATTGCATTCTGGTAGAACTTCCACATAAATCAGACACATTCAATGAAGAACAGAGAGGATTATTTTTAGTAGTATGTACTGGGCTATATCCCCAGCCCATTTTTTATTTTAAGACTGGGTCTCACTAAGTTGCTAAATTGCCTAGGCTGGGCTAGATCTTGTAATCCACCTGCTTCAGCCTCCTCTCGGTGCTCATATTACAGACCTGTGCCACTGGGCTTGGCTGAGAGAAAATTTTTAAAGACAAATCCTACGCTTAATTGCCAAAATACTTACAGATGTGACCAAACTGATTTAACACAGTTGAAAAGAAATGTTAGGTATTTAAAGATAGGTCTTTTATGTTGAGGTCAGAAATAATCACTTCAGAAAATGGTACATCAATACTGACAAAGTTACGAATGCCATTTTTACATACTTCTCCCAAGGTAAAGGAAAAGAAATACAAACTTCAAGGTCTTTTGGAAAAAATAAAAATCACCCAAATGATTACTCCTTAGATCATAACGAATAAGCAAGAACCCAGCACTAGAAGAAACAGCACTAGATCTTTTGAAATGACTTTCCTAAATGAAAACCAGAAGGGTTTAAATTAGGTCATTTCCTTTTCACTTTTAGATTTTTTTGAATTGGTTATTTTTTAATTCACAATCTGAAATATTCTAGAGAAAGAATGCAATTTAAAGTTCTTTACAATTTCTGGACAAAAATAAATTAATATTCACTTTAACTCGGTATATAACCACACACTTGTTTAATTCAAAGCCATAAACCCCAGACACCTTAAGCTGTATGAAAATGTTTTACATAAATAGAATCCACCAAAAAACGTATACATCAGGAGAAGAAACACTTGTGTAAATAATTTAATACTAAATTTACTGAGATATTATGAAATTAGTACAAGTTACCTTTGGCCTCTGTAGTTAAAAGAGGTGCTCAAACTGGTGGCCATTGGTTCCTAGACATTTATTAGTATGGCAAATTGCTGAAGTATATATTCATTTTTTGGCAGATTCTGTGTATGTAGAGACATACAAATGTTTATGCTTACATAATTTTAATTTAAAATAAAATATAGAAAATGCATCATTATGCAATGTCATCATTGTGTGAATACCACTGAATACATTTATGGTTATAATAGCATCAGGCAATGTAATCTTACAGGATCTACTATTATGTACGTGACCCATAGTCAGCTGAAATACAGTTACTCAAGACATGCATATATAGTGAACCAGTGAGGAGTCAAAGCAATGACATAGTGAGGGGTTAGAAATCAAAAGTTATTTTTCCAGAAGAAATAAAAATAAAATGAACGCTGGAAACAAGGGTAGAAGTGACAGGGGCATTAAGATAACATATAGTTACATAGTTACATTTCTGGGCTACAGTAGTTTAAACATTAAATAACACAAAAATACCTATTTCTATTCATCTTTATAAAATAGTTGGCAAATCAGGTATACAAGCTGTCATCAAGGAGTACTTAAACTAACTTTGCATACCAAATTCTTTTCCTATCATAGCTGACAGAGAAGAAATTAAACATGCATAAAACGAAATGTAACACCCATGCCCCAATATAATGCAGGTATGTGAAAAGTCTAGGAACTTGCCTCTTTTTCAGTGTCTCTAGAGATACATGTCCACTGGTTCTCCTTCACACTGTATGCCCAGAAGTCAGCAAGATCTTGTGTTCCATCCCAGCCACCAAACAAATAAACAGTCTCTGTGAAAATCAGAAAAATAATGTGTTTAAAGGAAAAAAAAAACAAAAAAAAAAAACAAAAAAAAAAAACCTTAAGGGAAACAGTCCTAGCCAGTTCTTTCAGAGATCATTTTAAAAGGTACATCTAAAAATTTTTAAAATGGGATTTTCACATTTTAACTTTCAAAATGTGTATCAGCCTAGTATTCCCTAAACATGAATAGATGCAGAGGGTGCTTCGGATTACTATTTTGAGAGATTTATTTAAAAATACAATCACTAAGTCATGATCCCCAACATTCTGATTCCACTGTTTTTCAGTGGGTAAAGAGACAGTCTGAATTTTCAAAGTACCCCATATGAATCTGATATGCAGCCCGTTTACAAGTTTCTGCATCGGGCCATAAAAAATTTACATTTACTAACTTCTTAAAAAATGCAGCAACTTTTCATCCACTAGCGGTCTATGGAATTTGTTACTCAGACTGTAACTAGAAACCCTAGGGGAATATAAAGTATAAACGTATGAGGACATCTAGCTACTTCTGAAAAAGTCACATTAAAAGTGGTTTCTCCTTAATGTTACACCAAAAACAATGGTTAAAATTTGTTGCAAGCTACATCTCTTAATAATAAAGTAATTCACATTTTTGGTATTCCCAGGAAAACCGGGGGATTTTTTTCCAAATATACTGTGATAGGTTCAACTCTTTAGAAAGTAACCATTAAGCCATTCTAGGTACTGTACCTTGAGAATTTGGTTTCTTCTATTCTGAAATGTCTACTGCATGTATAAACTTCAGCACTGGATCAAAATGATTTCTTGCTAATGGATAGTGAATTTTTTATACATAAAACTGTATAATAGATCCTTTCTTCTACACTAATAGTTCTTTTCCTTTCTTCAAATATTCTGCTTCTTATAAACATCTTGTGTGTACTGGTTACACAAGCCCACCTTTTTTTTTTTTTAGGTAAAATACTACAGAAAAACGGGAAAGTTACTGAGTCTCCTAATGACACATCCTAAGGCTGTGCTGTGTCCCACCATGAAGTCAGAACTGACAATGCATGTGGAAATACTGTAACACTGAAAAAACTTTTTGCCATTCATAAAGTTGAACAGTCTTCTAAGAATTTTTGTCATATTTTCATATAATTTCAAATTCTTAAGTAAATTTTCTAAGTGAAATGCCCAATCTATTCCCAAATAACTTGGAGAAATCCCAACAATGTTTCTCTGCTCTCTGGATAAGAACAGCCCGCTGAAGCCCACTGAGTTCTAGCACTAACTGGCTGACCAAGTACAGAATACTTAACCTCTCAGGGTCTCATATGTTAATTTACAAAAATCTGAGTGTGAAATTCTTTAGCTCTGAGTGACATGGAAACATTCTGAAGCCTGTCAAGCATGAACAACCTATCTTCAAAGCATGTACTAAAATATAAAATAATTTCTATTTCTATAAGTACCACAAATACAATAAAAATGGCATTATTTTATCTGATTCTGGGTCTACTTCAGTACCTAAAGCACTTTTGGCACTTTATAAATGTAAAATAATGACAATTATTTCAAACCACTAAAAACTTGTCAAATTTCAGAACTATAAAACAGTCCATTATTATTAGTTGATAACATTCTGTTTCACAAATGGCACAGAGTGATGTCCAGACATTTATAATTTTATGGGGAAAAAAATCAAAGAAGTTTCACCTGATTTTATTTGCCAAGGTCTCACTATAAAGGCAATTAACCCTATTAAATTCTGAAGCCTGGAGGAGGGGGCATATAACTAAAATAGCAATAGCAAGTGACCTTTTGTTTTATAGTGTTTCTGGGCACCTTCCAGATAAGGTTACTCTGGTTCATTAACTTTAATAACCCTTTCTCTTGGGTTCTGGGTTCTCAGTGTTCTTTGTGAAAAGCAGGTCTCTTTGTATGCATAAATTCTCACAGCAAAGAAAACCCACATTTCCACAACAGCCTCATTGATGGCTGAGCAAAATAAAATCTGGCATACAGTAAGCATCCCAATGGAATTAAGCCAAGATGTCATTCTTGTCCATGAATGCTTTGTGGTCCAAGTTGAAGTTTAATAGTAAAATTAAATGAACTGGATGAAAACTGGACCTTCTGACATACCTGAATGAAAAGGTATAACAAAAACTTTAATTAAATCACCAGCTCATTTAATCAGAAAGTAAATTATCTAGAAACAAAGATCAGCAAAAGTACTATTTAATGCTTAAAAGATATACAGATATCACAGACCTTTGAAACTTATGGTAAAAATTGGGGAGAACTACAGAGAAAAAGAAAAAAGCCAAGGGAAAACATTAATCTTTGGAGCAGGATAACAGACTGGCTTACTCAAAATTCATTCTCATGCACACAGGAAATAACAATTCATGTACATCCTGGGGCATACAATCTTAAGAGGAGCAACTCTTTCCCTGTATTTTTTCCTTAATAAAGCACAGGCTATGTTGCCTGTCCATTTCTCCCAGCATTTAGAGCAATAATGTCAATAAGTATTGATCTGAACTGGCAAAGCACTTCAAATAATTTTTAAGAAAAAGATGATGAAAACAATGATGACAAAGTCCCTGCCCTGCGTTTACAATCTTGTCAAGAAGATAAAACAGGTATATAAATTACTGTAACACATGATGGGCTAAGTGCCATAAGAAAGCTAAAAAGTACCATAGGAGTTCAGAAGTGGAAGAGAATATATCTGGTTGAAGAGACTCAGGAAGGTTTATGGTGTCAGAGGTACTTGTCCTATAAATTAGAAGTTGGCTTTATGTTCTGGTAGGCAGAATGGGGAACAAAGCAGAAAGAAAAAATAACAAGGATACAGATACAGAAAAAACATATTCAAAAGGTTTTTAAGACATTAATATCAAAAGGCTCTCAGTTACAATCCTGGCTGTATTACCACAGCTCTCTGACTACCAGCAGGTTTCTTAAGCACTGGTTTCCTAATCTCTAAAATGTGATGTGGTATCCGACAAGCTATTGTGAGATAAATTAAGTATTACATGTATTTAACACTTAAATATTAAATGGTTAAATTGTGTGTGATAAATATATGTACTATTTGATATAAATGATGAATATTGGCCAGAAAAAGTTAAGTATCATTAAAGACGGTTAAACCATAAAGTAAGAGTTTTAAACTTGACTCCATAGACAGTGGGGAAGCTACAGAAGAGCATAAGGAGGGACACATGTGACAAGGAAAGAGGTAAACTTGCAGCATACAAACCTGACTAAAACGGAAGAGGTAGGGACTTAGAAGGATTGGAGGTAATGTGGATAGTAACAGCCTGTGTACAAAATGTCAAGCCAATTTCACTCTAAGACACTAAGTGAATCAATCAATCGCTACTCAGGCCACAAATATAAAATTCTACCATACTCTTTGGTACAGAATATACATCAAATGGTACCAGTGCCAAATGAACATTAGGGGTAGTTACTACCAATATATATACCTTATATACACTAAAAAAAAGATAGATATGTTAAGAAATGTGAAGACATCCGTGCCTACTATTTTGCACAATAAAATAGGTTTTTTATTTTAAGTGCTCAACCACACTATCTGTAGTTTTACTCTTACAGGGTAAGTCAGACTGCTAACTACACAATCCTCCACAAGATGGCACACTAATTTAGCAATTAAATCAGTCTTTCCATTTTGAAACTATAGAACACATAAACTAGGTATTGACATAGCTAGCCTACATTTAAATCGTAGATAATTCATGTGTTAAAAAGCAGTACAAGAAGAGTTAACAGACTGGTGACAGAAGTTAATTCTTATCTTAAGCAGACCAAGAGAAAAACAAGTAAAAGGGAAAACACAAACAGAAAAGGTTCTAAGACAACAAATTTGTCTCCCAAATAAAAGAAATCCTGTGAAGACATTTTTAAACTAAAAGCTCAAATTGTTCCTCTGCAAGTTCAAGTTAGTAAGACCTTAAGGACAGTTAATATGTTTTTTACCACCTTTCCTTTTTTGTAAACAGTAGTGAAGAGTGAACTCAGGGGCTCTGCACTACATCTCAGCTCCCTTGTCCCCCCCTGGGCTCTGCCTAAATCACTAAGTTCTGATTCTGGCTGAGATTAAACTTGTGATTTTCCTACCTCAGTCTCCCAGAGTTCCTTGAACTATCAAGACTTAGCAAACTATCCACTAGATTTATTTGTTTTTCTTCTTTTCTGAAACAAGAATTTTTTAACTGGTTATACACATTAAGGGGTTTTATTGGAGCTGGGGATTTAGCTCAGCAGCACAGCGCCTGCCTAGCAAGCGCAAGGTCTTGAGTTCGCTTCCCGGTACTGGAAAAAAAAAGGGGGGGCTTTATTTTGGTACAGTTGTACATTCATGTATATAACATGCTTTGATCATTTTCACACCCCTATATTAGCCTGCTCCTGGTTTCAGTGTGCAGGGTGGGGGTGACATTCAATGTGTAATACATTTTACTCATGTTCATTCTCCCATGCCTTTCTTAAATATCTATGGACTGATCTTTTGAGTGAATTTACGTATGGTTACTTTCCTCACTAAATAGTTTCATTTCATGATAAATACGATGCTATACTAACTCCTATTCTTACGTTTGAATTCTTTTCCGATAATTGTATGAAACAAAAACATGCATGTTATACATAGTTTCAGAAATACATGAATATGTTTACATTAACAACCAAAACCCATTTTACTCACCTCCTTTAAAAGTTTCTTTAGGAAAAATCAAGAAAAACTGTATGTAGCACTACATACTACAAAATGAAAGCATTTCATATAACTGCTATAGAAACAGTCCAAAGTTCAAATACTTATACATATGTTCTTCTAAGTGACAAGCAACTCATCAACTTTTTTGATAGATACTAAATATTGGGACTGTGCCTGTCTTAATACCTATTCTGACCAAGGTCAGATTCTCAGAATTTATAATAGCCTCATCCAATTGACATTTACACTTTTAACTGAATAGACTTC